CGGGGCTTATTCTGATTACGGAGATGCCAAAATGCAACAGAAAGACGTAGCGCAGTGCGCTAAACGACATGCCATTTTCGTTTTTGTGCAAAACTCTATCGTAGGAAACCGTTCTAGCCTAGCAGAATGCCCTAGTTCCCGAGATCGGCGATTTGGTACTGTGATGGGTCCCTACCTTATATTATATTATAGGGAGGTGCGGCGTATAGGTTGTGATTGGAAGACACAAAGTGTCAATCTTCGGCGAGCCTCGGCATCATGGCCGCATCACGTCCAGTAAACTCCACTTGTGCGTTTTGGCTATATACATTTCGAATAATTTTTCAGTTTCACACAGGGAAATATCGGATTTGCGCATGCCCGTTCGCGCCGAAAATATAGAGCATGCAGCGCAATTATGCATTTAAATCATTTTCGGGCTATCCGCCTATAGGGAAACATGGTAAAATTCGGCGACCGCCTGCATATCTACGAATTGCAGAGCGCCATCTTTTTCGTACGGCCGACGGTTATATGCACATAATATAATGCTGGACATAGTCTCCGGTCGACGATTTTACCACCCGCACCTCTTTCCGATGTTGCCTCTGCAACGGGCTGAGACGCTAGCGAAGATTTTTATCACATGCACATAGTGCTGGCGACGTGCTCTCTAGAAAATTGCAGAAATTCAGCGAAATACTGCTTCCGTCGGCAACTCTAGGGCATCCAGTAAACTCCGTTTGTGCGTTTTCGCTATATAACACCATTGGAAATACTTTTGAATTCTTGGAAATGATAATTTCTGCTAATGTTTCGCAATTTTATGGTAAATGTGGCACCAAAGCTTAAAATCTGCTAAAGATGAGGCTCTCCTCTTCCCGATCCAGGTTCTACGGTTTATCATGTGGGAGGTAGTGTCCCCTTAAGGCTAGCGTCAGGTCGCGTCGACAGATAACACGAACACAGTATTGTAAAGCTACTCTTCATTTGTTCTATTACACCACAGAATATTCTCTTTACCACGGCTTGCACATTAACAGTCTAAACAAACAACTCTGCGATACTACACAGCTGTCTACAACCGCGTACCTTAAGACGTGGATCGCGAAGTAGCTCGGCAAAGTGAAGGTGGAAGGTGGAAGGTGGAAAGAAGGAATAGAAAGGAATAGGAAGGAAAGATCAAGAGCGCGGCGAAAACTGGACTATACGGTTCAAAGGATCAGGCCTAGTCTCTAGCCTCGCGTTCAGCTTCGCCAGGCTGCGGCACTCCTTAATATATGTCACGGATGATTTATTGCGATTGCTTACGCGCGCGGCGAATCGATAGCTCATGCCTGCATGCTGTGCGGAGCCTGCACTGTCCTACATTAGCTATAAATTGGCGCCCATTTACTTCTGCTGCTACAGTTATTTAAGTTTCAGTGTAAAGTTGGAGACTTTAATTGCACAACGTGTAAATACTCTTTACAAGAATCAGGGTGAACATAATAAATATAAACAACTTGCAGAATTTATTCCAAAGAAGCTTCTTTATTTACAATTTGTTGCTGTCGAGTGAAATACAAGGTCAGGTTAATGTTTTTCATGCCAAGAAAATACAGTTATAAATCAAATATTGCATTTTACACCAGACTACTCCAACAAAACCATAGATTCTGCGTAGTTCTGGCACAAAGTGAAATTCTGAAACAATGCATGCCACAAATACACTCCATGTACTATCAGGAGCTAATAATGTCAAACCTCCTCCTAATGGCATGACTCCTGGTACTATTAAGCTAGCAAGAAGTGGCCAGCCTATGATAACGCTGCTATAATATAGTCAACAAAAGCGTGAACATTGCAAACTATTACGTTTTATGAAGGCTGCTTTATAGCAGCCCTGATAACAGTGGGCGACTGCTAGCTTCCTGCTAAAACTCCCCGTATGCAGACCACC